ATCAATGAACAGAGCTGCTATCACTTGCGTAGAATGCGTGCAGACACTGTACCTTTTCCCTGTGGAGCAAAACATTAATAATCAATGGGGAAATATCCTGTGCAAATCAAAGTTGATGTTAGTTTTTGTGAAAGAAGCCAACTGTTGCATTTGGCGTGGCGCGTGCTGCTGTTGTACAAAGGTGTGGGACGGTTCGGTGTCATGTTAACCTGCGTAAGACAATCATTACCGCATAAAGGGCAACTTTCACCGCGTGCACTCGTAACACCGGGATCAGCACAACGTACACCAACGTCGCTAAGTACACAATGATCACCCAAGCGAAGATCTGCAGCGGGTTTGGCGGCAGGGACCAACCGTTCAGCCGACTGTAAATCCGTACCATTCCATCTATGAGGTGCCGACGGACATCCTCGCTGGAAGCAATGCTCCAATACTCTTCGTTTCTTCTCTCAACGGTTGTCGTCGATCGCCACTTCCTCCCACAACAATCGATGCGAGCAAGCTAATCGAAGCGATTCAGTTGCATGCCTCGCACAAACCGTTGCTTTCCATGGAAACAACGCAACACGGTGTTTTACAAAGCGACCATCCCGCGAAAGCCGGGGCGGGCAGATCGATCGCAACACGTCGCTGCTGCTGCTGTGTCCCTTGGCTTTAGGAGGCAGGAAATGTGGCGAGTCAAGACTCCAAGAGACATTACAGTGCGTCAGTCGATCCTGTGACATCGTTCGAAATTCATGTTCTTGTTATCCTTAAACATGTTGCGCCATGAAGCATTGAAATACTGAGCATATATCAAGATAATTGAGGAAATATGTCGTTTGATCAATCACACGTTCGCAACGACGGAAGTTTACTTGAAGGATAGAAGCGTACTACTTGAAGTATTCGGAAAGATCTGCAACGCATGCTTCATAAGTTTTAACAGCATTTTAGAAGGAAGGGAAGCTTACTTTCAAGACGGAGGGAGTAAAGCGTGTAACTGAATTATGAAAGAAATCTCAGCTTCATCTTTTTCATGTTTATTCAAATGACTATATACGATTAATTCATGCTCGTAAGTTCCTCTGTCTTTCTTTAGCTTCAGAATGACGTAACGTCATCCAGCATGAACGTTGTAATTGTGTGTCAAGATGCTGAGATCTTGGATAATGAGTTCGACGTCAAGTTCAGAGTCATAAGTCCATAACAAACAATCCATAAAGGGTTGTGAACAAACGAAAATTTCGATCTAGTTTGACATCATAGTAAACGTCACCATTGGCTTACCGTCATTTCGACTGTTTCCTCTGTAGTAGATCGAAACTTTCAATTAATTCTGACTGGTTTGTTTTCCAGTTGTTAGTCATATTTAATATGCTGATTTACAAGTGCATAAGGCCATTAAAGCTTAACGTATCAAGCTCTGGATTGATCTTCATCTTCTTCATCTTCCATCGCCGCTTCTCCTTTCGGGTCGCGGAGG